CGCGCTGTGACAACCAATTCGGGAAAGAGCGGCCTAACCTTGAGCTAAACAGGTTCAATGCACAGGGAAAACGCAGCTTGGCTGACCAAAATATAAATGTATATATATAAATATATACACATACATGTGTATACATATAAAATAACAAATAAAAATTACATTTTTTTGCGCTCTTATAAACGTTTTGGCTTGAACACAACAAAAAAATGTTTTTCTTGATACAGTATGTGACGCGAATCTTAGCTTAGGCCGCGTCGCGAACCGGTTTTAAAGATGAGGACCGCCTCAGACGGCGATTTATGAAGTCATCTTTTGTAGCTTAGCTTGCAATTTAGCAAAAGCAAAAAAAAAAAAAAAGAAACAAGATATATTATATGGCCAACGCCATATTGAATATGTTGCTGTATCTCTGCATAATTAAGCTCTAACGCTTCATTTGCCAATTCCAAAAGAAATAACTTCCAACTCACCTTTTTAACAATCCTCCCGTTTTATATTTATCTCTATATGTATGTATTTGTATATATGCCTTTGCGTAATCCAATTAGTTATGTGGCCTTTGTTTAACAAGTGTTATACAGTTGCTTTATATATTTTTTGTTTTGCAAACTCATAAAATTATGTGGCAATATATATAAATTTTTTGCATTAATTTATTTTACTAAAAAAATCATGGGATCAACCATTTTTTTTTCACAGGCGCATAATTTGTTTTTCTTTTTTATATCTATATTTCATTTTATTTTTGCATTAATTTAATTTGTTTAACTTCCTCTTTGTTTGGCGCACATTTGGTTTTTTGTTTATTTGTAATTTTGCTTTGCTGCGGAAGAGAGGGCAAAAGAAACAGGCTATAAAAAACGGCTAAAAAGCAGCTTCAAAATTGCACAGGAAAAATTGCAAGAGCATCTAGCTTTTTAAGAGCTAAAAGAGCAAGAGCGAGCGAGTGCTGAGGCACATCTACACATACATGCATACAGTTTAATTGCTCTAACTGAAACTCTCAAGGAGTCGCAATAACAAAAGACTTAGGCAACAAACTTGCGGTCAGTTAACAACACAAGCACAAGCCTGGTTCGAAACACATTTTTCAAAAATTCGTGATGAAGTCGAAATTAACAGCTAGTTCAACCACCCGTTGTGCATTATAACAACAACAACAGCAACAACAGCAACAGCAATAACAATTTGATAGGCCGCCAAGGGCAACAACAATCAAACGGCAAAAATTTCTTTAATTTTGTCAGCGTCACAAATGCGTTTGCACGTTCCCAAGTAAGACCAAATTAAGAATCATTTCATGGCTTTACAAAAGACAATACACACTCTCTACAACTGCTATATGTAGGTATATATATTTTGTATATATAACACGTACATGCTCGGTTTTTCATCTGCGATTCGCCGACAGCTTGAAATATTGAACGCGATAGAGCGAACGCGCGACGACGACAACGAAACGCGCTGCCTTTTGGTTCTCTGTTGTTTTTTTCGTTGATGTGTGTCTCGCACACCGACCTGGCCAAGACTGAATTGAACAGACGTTGCGCTCTAAAGCCAAGACGCCAACAGCAGCAACAACACTCCGACAGCAACCGGTCTGGCTAAGTTTTCGGAGTCGTTGTCGGAGTATTTGGCAAGCTGAGCCGCTCTTATTGGCGCCGCGCTCTTCGTATTGTCTATGACGTATGCGTATGTGTGTGTACTCTATGTGTGTGTGTCTGTGTGTGTGTGTTACCTAGTGTTGGCAGTTTTTCAGCAACAACACCAACAACCGAGGCCCACACAGCAATCTTGCACTTGGGCCCTGGGCCACGCTCGACTGCTGCTCTCTATATATGCCTCGGAGAAAAGGGTATTAAAAGTACTTGAGACAAGTCTGCTATATAGTCCATTCTCATCGGATAAAAGGTAGGCAGTAGGTAGTATATTAGTGTGTCATATTGGAGAGCTATTTAGAATCGATTCGAATCAGTTAACATGTAATGAAATTAAATCATTAATATAAACCTCTTTACATTCGTTTTGATATGTTGAATTTTCCTATTTATTTAGTTTTTCAAACCAAACGAGAGCTAACGTCCATTGTAAAAACATATTCGTTTTAAAATTGAGTATTTTTATTCTGATTGGCTTAATAAGAAATAATGATATAATTATTTATTTATTTTTAACTGTAATTTTAATGTATTAATCATTTAAAAACAACTTTTTTTGTTGGACAATTCTTTAAATCATTTGTTCACTGAAATTTTATTAAACATAAATTAGGATTTTATTTAGTAGCTAAAAAAATATATTTATATTTAATTTACCATTTGTTTTAGTTTCAATTTTATTTACTTGATTTAAATTATAGTTTTATTTAAAAGCTGATATAAACATTTTATTAAAATTTATTTATATTTTTAATACAATATCTACACTTTAAATAACAACAATTTCATTTACTAGTGTATTTCGACTTCGTTTGACTGTTGTTGATTTGTTAGTTAGGTGTAATTTCTCGTTCTCACCTGAGATGTTCGAGTTTTTCTTTCTAATGAGCGAATACCGCATAATTAGAGCCTCCAGCGTGTTGGGTCTTCAAGTATTCCCGAATCACGTCATGCTCGGCCAACGCAACTAACTAAGCCGCACTCGGAGAGTTGCTAAGATCTCGGTTTTTACTTGGCTGGAGAGCTGAGCAAATAGAATGATTGTGTGGGCAGTCAACAGAATGCCTTGATGACGGCATATACGGCAAATACTTATGCGATATATATACATGTATACAAATATGTATGTATGTGTGTGTGCTATGTGGCCTATACATATTTGTATAAGTTAACTACAGACTGTGTTTTGTTTAAGCCACATAAATCTTGAGACTTGCATTTACATTTTTTTTCAGGTAGTAAAGAGCAGAACCTTTTTCCTTTACCTTTTCGGCCGCCCGACTCTGCTCTGTTGGCCTTGGTCGGGTTCAATTGTTGACGTTTCCCATTAACTTGTACGTTTCTATTTATATTTTTAGTTATACCAATATTTATGATTATCATGCGTGCTTCTTCCTCTTTATCTTTGTCTGTTCAATGTCAAAAGTTCGTTTCAGAGACGTGCCGGAATTTTCACATCTTTACGTGAGCCTGCGACACGAAAGATTTTTGTTGTTGTCAAGAATTGATTCTGATTTTAGAGCTGTCATAATATATAATTATTATATGTTGTTTATAATTTCTGTATTGATGATAGACAGAAAAGCTTATTCTGAATTCGTAAAGAAAATGACGAACAGAGAGATTTTAAATGGCTTGAAAAGAAGAACTCAGGTAAAGAGTGTAAAATATTTAAATTAATATATTT